TCGCTCTATGTGACACTATCCAGTCATGCCACCTCTCTAAAACTCTCCATTGCACTATAAACTATTCTGCCAGTTACGAGTGACACATTGTACCCCTCTCTAATACTAATATACACCCTATAGTGCATAATGTCACTCTATGTGACACCCTATCCAATCACGCCACCTCTCTAAACCTCGCCATTGCAATATACACTATTCCGTGACCCTCTTTACCCCTCTCTAACACCAATGTACAGCCTACGGTGCATTGTGTCACTGTATTGCCCTCTGTGATACCCTAACCAGCCTTGCAGGCCCTGCGCCACCTCTCTGTAATATTGTAAGCAGCCAGCAGCATGCTACACCACATAGTAAAAGAGGAAACACATTGAAAACCCCAGTCCATCACTTCTCTAAATATAAAGCTTGCCGCTCGACAACTCTTGATATGCAATAGAATAATGTTCACTACCTTAACGACAAATAAGTATCTACACGTCTCCTCTTCCTAACACATTCCGGAAAGCAAGGTTACCTTTTTCAAGTTAAAATAAAGAAAACATTTAATACGAGATGATAGTATAAGGCAAGTGATGGAGAAGGTGCAGGAATCTAGATCAGAGGAATCTAGATCAGAGCAGCAATGTCTGAAATCCTACAACGAATCGAGTCGTAGGTTAGGCGTTTGCAGCTGTGGCACAGATGGGGTTAACAATGGTTGCATTAGTGAGTGGGAATGACAGGGGTGGAGTACAACTTTGTTGATCCCAATGCCCTCTAAACAGTTCCACCCCATCCTTGTAATCTCTGCAGTGTTTTCAGAGACAAAAGAAAATGCCTAGCCTTAAATCCAGGTGCAAGGGCTCCGAAGGACTTTTTTTTTTTTTTAAGCACTGCAAACATTTTTGCAAGACATGCAAAGTGCAAATTAATCCGCAATACCTTATTTTACATCTGTCGCTCATACTAAAGTTGTCTCTCAGATCTGAGTGCTCACTTGTTTTTCTTTTCTACTTTTCTGGGTCCCCAAATTCTGTTTGACAACGTTTCAGGGACCAAAAACAAATAAAAAAATGTAACAGTCCATGGACTCCCGACATGGATTGAAGGATCTCATTTGTGGTCCAAACCACCCACTCCCTGGGCCAAGGTTGGTCAATTGAACTCTTTTTGTACACGAATACTTCAATAAAATGTAATAAAATATATATATTTCCTTCTAAAAATAGTCTTTGTCAATCTTTTCACCCCTGAGGAACCCTTGAAATATTTGTAGGTTCTCGGGGAACCCCTGCTAAAAAGGATTCTACCAAAAGCTCATGGCACATCAATGTGATCAGCAAGTTGAAGAAAGCTTTAAATAAGTAACATGACGTACTTAGGGTATTGGACACCCAGGGCAGATCATTTTACCAACCCAATACAAAAACAATTTTGCCAAAATTCCTAAAATGAATAACTACAGTAAAGGATGACAGACAGTAAAGATTGAGGGGTCCTTTAACATTTGTGGGCAGGGTAGAAGTGAGCCCTTACATTGGTGGTTAGTGGAAAATTGCCCGCTTGCATTGACTAGTGGTGGGACATCCATCCACCATTGCTCAAGGAACCTCTAGCAACCTCAGGGGAACCTCCACAGAACCCTGGTTGGGAAACACTCCTCCAAAGCATATATTCAAACCAGTGGTGGTCCTGTCACAGGGAGCCTCAAGTGCGGCCCCTAATCACCAAAGGGTCACATATAATATTCAGTGAATGCAATGATACAGAGAAGACATGCTACAAGAGATGGTTAGAGACTGCAAACATGCAATAGGAGTTGTAGGACGCTTGGGTCATGCTATAGGAGACAGTCACTGGAGACCCATTACATAAGACTGCTAGATCACTGCTGGTACAGCCACTTCACAAAACAACCAGCCCATATTTGTGCTCCCTTCTGCCCCTTTAACAATTACCTATGCCAATGTTTGATATTTATCTCAGCAAAATACATTATAAGAGAAGATCAGACAGGAAGAAAAAAAAAAAAAAAAAAAAAAAAAACACATAAAAACTAAAATACCACAAACTAAAAGTAAAATAAAATAAATAGATCAAAAACATAAAACTGCTAGAACCAGCTCTGGTCCAAGTACACACCTAGGTAAGGAAAACACAGACTACTACCTGCAGGGGACCCCAATGATCACAGTATAAGTCCACAGACAGGTTGGACACAAGGGATTTAAGCATTCTAAGCAATGCAAAATAACGAAGCACGCTTGTTTTACACAAGAGCTGGCATGTAAGTAAGTATATGAAGTTTATTTAACAAGTAGGACCATCTGTTGGTCCTGCTGGGAGGTTGTGGGGAAGAGGGGGGGGGTGTACAGTACCATAAATAGAGAACAGTCCAAGTGGTTATTTTCCCCTGGCCGCTGTGAGCAGCAGGTCCCCCTTGTATCAGACTTTACCCGGCTGCAGAACGAGGTGGGCAGGGTGTGGTAGCACATTGACCTTTAATGTTTGTACTCTAATCAATAAAACAAAGTGCAGAGGGTGGATAATCGCACCGCGCACTAAGAAAACACAAATTCATAAAAGCGTGACTGCAATTTTCTTTTTTTTAACCTAAGGCACCTCCATTTCCGTCGAGGCACCCCGCTACCTGAAATAGGGTGGTGCACTGGTTCGTACATAAAACCTCAATGCCAAACACGCCTGCAGATGAGCGTGCGGCCAGGAAGCTTTCGAAAAATCACCTCGATTCTCAGAAAAAGACAACTTGTGGTTATGAAGCGTCGCTAAGACTGCACTGCGGTGTCTTTAAAATGTGCCGAGTGGCTGTGCCAGTGTCAGAACACAAAAGAACACACACGAACGATCTGCTCCAATACAGGTAAATAAAAGCCAGAGAGCCGCCTTACGTCCTGGCGGTTCCCCAACTGTTGTAGGACTACAAGTCCTCACAGGCCCTAAATAGAAGCTGGGGAGGAACCCATTACATAAGGCCAGCATGCTGAACCTACAAGTTCATGCTTATGAAATCTTTCATATTTTGCATTTTTCTGATTGAAGAACATAATTGCATGTTGAAGGAATAAGCAGTGTTGCTGGCCTCTGGTACAGAGAGGGTTACATGCACCATGTGCTACGCTGTATAGGACATTTGTGTGGGTGAATCATACCCCCACCTCAGCCAATGACACTCTGTAGCTGCCTGAGCCGAGACCCAATTAATGTGATTCAGCAGCCGCAGAACCAAATTCAAACGTTGACTGAACAATGATGGATGTGGAATGTCATGTAGATGTAGCGTGTACGGCGGTCCTGTGAGGGTTACTACCAATGTCCTGCTTCACATGCCTGGGGGTCACCAATACCTTGGGATCACCGTCCCATACATGTCTGTCCAATTCCAAACTAGGTGGTTACCAACCAGAAACAGGTCAGGACATGCCTCTGTTGTAAGCATAACTCTTATTCACACAATGTTCTTTTTAAACGGGAGGGATCGAGTACATTCAGGACCGGTCATGTGAAGGACATGTCTGTCACAAAGACGGTGCACAGCCATGAAGAGGACTGGCCATGTCTGTACTAAAACTACACAGCCAGAGGGCTAGAGTTATATAAGACATAATGAACTGGTTAGGTGGGTCTTGAAGGACATTGTTTGTCACATTCAGGACTGAGGGCTGCATTACTACCAAAGGACTTTGTGTCAGCATGACAAAACTGTGTACGGAAGTCCTTATGGACTACTCTAGTGTATAATGATAGGATCCCTGACCACGGGAAGGCTGGGAGACTCTACAATGAAAAGGTCCACCAACCACAAAAAGAACTGGTCATGAAACAAGACTACACCAAAGGTCCACAAACCACCAAAAGACCACCAAGGTCCTCTCTCTACTGAGGGGTGCCCTGCCATGGATGGGTTAGTCTCCGCTCTACTGAGGGGTGCTTTGCCGTGGATGGGTTAGTCTATGCTCTACTGAGGGGTGCTTTGCCATGGATGGGTTAGTCTACGCTCTACTGAGGGGTGCCCTGCCATGGATGGGTTAGTCTATGCTCTACTGAGGGGTGCTTTGCCATGGATGGGTTAGTCTACGCTCTACTGAGGGGTGCCCTGCCATGGATGGGTTAGTCTCCGCTCTAATGAGGGGTGCTTTGCCATGGATGGGTTAGTCTATGCTCTACTGAGGGGTGCCCTGCCATGGATGGGTTAGTCTACTCTCTATGGAGGGATGTCTTGCCACAAAGGGACTGTTCTATCTTGTATTGAGGAGAGACTTGCCACAATGGGACTGGTCAATTCTAAAATGAGGGTTGCCCTTCCACAAGAGGACTGATCGATTCTCTGTTAAGGGGTGTCCTGCCACAAGAGAACTGGTCTAGCTTAAGGGGGGGTCCTGCCACAAGAGAACTGGTCTAGCTTAAGGGGTGTCCTGCCACAAGAGAACTGGTCTTTCCTATACTAAAGGGTTATCTTCCGCAAGGAAGATTGTCTATTCTATACTGAGGGGTGCCTTGCCACAAGAGTCCACCTTAAAATGAGGGTCTTTTTTTAAAACGAGGATTGCCTTACCACAAGAGATCTAGTCCATTATAAAATGAGGGTTGCCCTGCCACAAAAGGACTGGACAATTTTATACTGGGGTAGTCCTGCCACATGGGCTATAGTCTATATTATAATACGAGGCTAGCAAAACAACAAGGTTAGTTAATTTCACATTATTAGATCTCAGTGCCACAAGAGACCAACCACTCCGGACAAAGGCCGGTCTAATTCATTACTGAGGGCTCCTCATGTTCAACAAGCTCCTAATGCTCAATGACCAGACCCCTCTATGGCCATCATTTCCCTACGCAAGACCGGTCTCCTTTGCTGATCCTCTCATCTATTGCTGGAACCCCCTTCAAGGAGCAGTCCTCAGATCATACACCGAACTGACACCACATACAGGACTCCACATAGCACAGGCACAGACACAGACACGACCAGACAGTCGGGCACGACTCGCCCTCCTCACCTGGTGCAAAGAGGTAGCTAGGGGGTGACCGGGGTATCCCTCGGGCTGGCCTCCCGGAGAGATGCTGCTACCGCGGGACGAGCTGTCGAAACTCCCTGGGTAGTCCTGGTACATGATCCGGGGGAAGGGCAGCGCTCTTCAGTGCCAACGTAGCCGGGCACCGGGGACCGATCAGAGGTGGGAGAGACCGAGCAGCTCCCGGCTGATACAATGTAACCAAGCGACAGCGATCGGGGATCCCGGGGATGAGATACAACGTGACCACTCAGCGGAGACCGGGGATCCGGTACTGGAACAGATCCTCTGACAGGAGATCGGCCAATCTGATACAGTGTGGTCGGCCAGATGTGCTAAAGAATCCAGAGGACGAGGCTGGTGCACAACGTGACCATTGAGCTGAGTTTTGGAATTCCAAGGATGAGGCTCAAATAGGATGCAACAGCTCAGCTGAGTTCAGGAATCCCGGGGATGAGGCTGGTATACAGTGTCAGCACTCAGCTGGGTTCAGGAATCCCGGGGATGAGGCTGGTATACAGTGTCAGCCCTCAGCTGGGTGCAGGAATCCCGGGGATGAGGCTGGTATACAGTGTCAGCACTCAGCTGGGTTCAGGAATCCCGGGGATGAGGCTGGTATACAGTGTCAGCACTCAGCTGGGTGCAGGAATCCCGGGGATGACAATGATACAATGTAACAAGTCACAGCGCTCAGTGATACAATGTAACAGCTCACCTCCAGGTTAGTGTGCTGGATGAGTCAGTCTCCCTCTCTCTCTCTCAGTGGATGAGTCAGTGGAATGGCATTAGATCAATCCCTCTCTGATTTTCTATTGAGCTCCCAGCACTGAGGACGTCATCTCTCCTCCCCCACATTAACAATGGGAGGTTCCGGCCCACAGATCCGGCCCAGCTCTCTCCTGCCCGGCCCAGGCTGTCTCTGCGGCGTGTGGCTAGGTGGACCCGGTCCGTAAGGGCTCTCTGGGCTCCGCCGGGTCCGTTCCGGGACGTGGATAGACATCGATCGCCCCCTCCTCTCTCTGTGGAACGTGGTCTCGTCCATTGACGCATGTCGCCAAATATGGTCATTTGCGTCTTGTGACGTTTGCGGGTTTCCTTGGTTCTGGTGACGTCAGCGGGCAGGGATTCCCTCTCTGGCTGCGAAAGCTGCAGAGGGGCTCTGAGCATAGGGAGAAGCTGCAGCAGCTTGTCACATTTCCAAAATCTTCAGGGGGTGTGATAGGTGTGCATTAGAACAGAGATCTACTGTACATATAGTAATAATAGTAATAATAATAATAGTAATAATAATAAAATAATTATTATTATTATTTGTATTATTTTTTTTGCTGATGTTGTTAATAATAATAATTATTATTTTTCCCCATCTTATCCGTCGTAACAACACCCTCCTTACAATAGTCCCCCAAATCCAATATATGTTCAAATATTACTCTACTTAATTATATAATTAATTCACTGATTTATTGTCATATCCTTTTTCTTTTCATTATTATTCTATCATTATTTTTTTATATGTATCTATTTATTACATAAAACTGTATGTATCTTGATGGATTTAACTTGTTAAATACATAAAAAAAAAAACAAATTAATACTAATACAAATTATTATTATTGATATATGTAATAAAATCTGAAGAGGGTATGTCATGTCCCCGCTCACCCCCCCCAAAAAATTAAAGCTTAACTCTGGACAATAAGGTCACATTCACAGTGTCAAATAACTTTCCTGCCATCAAAAATCTGCGGCAGAGAACCTTTGGCCACCTGCGCTCATTTGTACAAACTGTACAGATCAGTGATGCCATCCCTGTTCATATATAACCTTTCATGAGTGGCTACATGAGATCAGGGCCTCTGACTGGCCTAGACACGACAGTCTGCATCCAGGGCCAGTGTTGTAACAGAATCCTGGACTCCGTTAGAAATCTGGAATTCGCTTGTATTGCGCATGTGCCAGCGGGTGCAGATAATGAATTTTTGCGCCGACTGTGAATGGACCTGCTTCCCTGCACATGTGCAATTGCAAGTAAAATTTCTAGACCGGATCAACAGGTCTGGGCATGCCCATTCAGCTGACGCCCCCCCCCCCATGTCGAGATCAGCGGCTCTGAACTTGCGCGTTGAGCCGACGCCCCCAATGCATGTGTCCAGAGTTCTAACGGGGGTTCAGAATTCTACCAGAGCTCCAGCATTCTCTGGTTGCATACAAACTGAACGCAGCTAATCATCCAGTGTGCAATGCAGCCTTAGCGCAGAGTGGTGCGTTTAGCTGCATCTGAACACTGAAGCTTAATCACCCATGTCAATGAGCCCTAAGAGTTCCGGCAGTTTTACAAAACTCTGGGGGTACTGATTGCATTACCTTTATTCTGCCACAAGATGGCCTCCGTCTTCTGAGTTAAATGAAAGCCAGCATTGTTCAACATGGCAGGCTGAGGGCATACTGTGAGTGCAGGGCATCATGGGCCCATTCCCTAAGGAGGCGTCAATATGGCACCGTGCACAGACATACAGTGATGCCTTTCTCTTCAACATTAAAAAGCTGCACATCAGATGACCAACCTAAAGACAATTATTAAGTATAAAATACTGCTGGAGGGGGCCTCGTCATGGGGTGTGTGTCTGTGAGTTGGCCTTTGAAGGAAACCTAATATGTGAAAATCTGATGTCTGTTATTGCTGACCTATTATTCTGAATATACTGTTGCCTGGCTGACATATTCCAATGACTTCAATGTCTTCTAAGACACCGAACTTGAACAATGATGCAAATTATAAATTCAAACTTCACTTTGACTATCTAATCTATTTTTAAATGAAGGTCAACAGTAGCAGCCGTGGTGCAAGTTCCCTTAAAGCATTGACCTCTGCCACACCTCTAGGGGTCTGTTCACATTATTACCCTATCCTGCAGTAAATGTACGCTCTTTTGGTGCAGTTTTGCAAATGATTAGCCTGCCGAAAATAATGACATGCAGCTTTGCAATTATTTTAATGTACCTCACCCCAGCCTAAAGCATCCCTGTGCTGAGTTCCTGGGTCTGTACACCTGCTGTGTCCATTATGAGGGGTTAGCACCATCCCTGTGCTGAGTTCCTGGGTCTGTACACCTGCTGTGTCCATTATGAGGGGTTTACTCCATCCCTGTGCTGAGTTCCTGGGTCTGTACACCTGCTGTGTCCATTATGAGGGGTTCACTCCATCCCTGTGCTGAGTTCCCAGATATCTACCCCAGCTGTGCCCATTATGAGGGATTACCTCCATCCCTGTGCTGAGTTCCTGGGTCTATATACCTGCTGTGCCCACTATGAGGGCTTCCAACATCTATGCGTTGAGTTCTAGGTCTGTACACCTGCAGTGGCAATTATGAGGCGATTCCCTCCATCCATGCTGTATTTCTTATTTATTTTATATTATGGAGAGTATAACAGAAGGAGTCAGAGCACACAAATGTGGGCAGGACAACCTGAATCCACCAGCCTGAGTCTGACATTTTGACGAGGAGATCTCAGTGTTGGAGTTTCGAAGACATTTAAGAAGCTAGGGGCTGACTCTCCCACCACCTCTACCAGGCTCCACCTGCAGATATAATCTCACCCTTTAAAGCTGGTAATAGCAATATTTCTATGTAATATGTGTATTCCAGTTTAATAAAGAAATGGAATACAGAGTTCTGTGATCTTCCAGGAAGTCATTCTGCACGATGAGCTTCTTTGTGTTACCAGCCAGCCGTCTTATAAAGTTCTATAGAATTGAACTTTATCTGTAAAATCTTATCTCTATCCGCACACAACAAAAGTGGTTTTCTAGATTAAATCTTGCTTCTTTTTTTTTTTTTCCTGTGATGTTGTAAACTCACATGTGAGAGGTTCCTGGACATCCGCGACATGCCGTGCGGTTGTACCCGTAACATCAGGCAAAGCACCGCTACACACGATAGTGATGACGCAACAGTGTACATAAACAACGAGTTGTGAAGGAAAAAAAAGTCTTCCGGCTTTATTTGCCTGCCTATGGCGTAACTGAGCATTGTTCTTTCTACCACCCCCGGGGGAAATGTTGGGTAATATTTTGATGTCTTCTTGCTCAATGTGAGACAAAGCAAAACGGAACATACGTGGCCATGCACCAGCCTCCCCCAACATTCTTCTATAGCGAGACCCCTCCTAAAGCCAATTAATAGGGTGTCAGTTAGAAAAATGCCTCTTACATTGGTGGTCAGTGGTAAGAAGAACAGACCCGGAGAGACTGAGCGGAGGGGCTACCTGACTGGGGGGAGGAATAGTCCCTGGAGAAGGGGTTAAAATAAAATGTGAATTAGCTGATCTTACCTGATTGGTCGTTAGGGGGCCGGGAGGAGCCGCATGGGTTAGAACTGAAAGGACTGAGGGGCGTTCTTTCTGGAAAGTCGACGGAGGAAGCAGGTTGTCCCACCCTCCCTCCCTGAATTTTGTGGCTTCTGATGGTTGCAAGATCTTTTTTATGTTACAGCAGCTCGGCGGGTTAGGGGGTCTTTGGGGGGGTCTGAAACTCTGAGTCAATTACACAAATGGAGGCCATCAGCTGGTATGGGTGCTCCCCGCTGTTGGTGTCAGTAATTGTAGGGGGGCTTGGCCCCTTGGAACTTGGGAGCAGTAACTGTCCTCGAGCTGGTTGGGGTGCGGCTGAGGACATGGGAGGAGTTTTTAGGAGCGGCCTTATTTGGGCTGTTGGGCACCCAAAGACCCCTTTCTCAGATCAAACAGTCGTTAAAATGTTATTAAACCCTCCTTAGTTTTTGCACATATCTACTGCTAGGAAGTAGTAGCTATATTCAAAACGATAAAAAATAAAACTTTTTCAAAGGGATAATACTTACCTGTGTCTTTGCCGCGCACTCCCGTTGTGAGAAGGCGGGGGAAGAGGCAGAGCGGGAGGGGGGCCAAGTTGCTGCACCATGGGCCTCTGGGTTGTACTTGCCCCCTGGGCTAAAAGTTGCCAGTCAGCCCCTGCTTTAGGTGTATATATTTGTATATTATTTTGTTTATTACTTTGGTTATTGTTAAAGTTGGTTGGTTAATAAAAGGGCTGCTGTGGGGGGCGTGACCGGCCATGGTGGTGTGAAGACGT